ATCGGGAATACGTGCTGGTCGGAAAAGTTGATTTGGCAGATTGTGGCGGTCGGCAATTCTGCGTGCCGGTCGGGCCCAACCAGCACCGACCGGCAGCGGCAGATCCCTGTGTGTGAGTATCCGAGTTCTTTTACACAAGAGTTATACTGAATAATCCAGCTTGTGTAATATCAGGGTCAGACACAAGAAGAGGTTACATGAGGCAATCATAATAATTCAATACATGTACATAGCCAAAGACTTAGCTCACACTAGGGTTACACTGAACATGTTGAAATTCCAAAGTGCTGGTTCACCAATAATAAAGGCTAAGCTAAATAATACTACAAGAAACCCTGTATTATTGTCACCAAAAGTTGAGGGCGCCCTGACAAGTTTTAACCTACTCAGGCAAAAAGAACCTGAAGAGAATGCCTCACATTGTTTCAAACAACACAGGGATACTTACTGACACAATACATAATTATACATGCATTTTCACACTGATAAAGCCTAGGAATGTACCAGTTCCCGTAACACCCGAAAGGCACAGCATTTTATGGGTGGTGCCATGTTGGATTAAAACATGTAAACAAAAATCCTACAATGTTGACACTCTTAAAGTATTTCACCCTAGGCGACACAAGCAGGAAATCTACATTGTGTTAAAATTAAGATGGAGCACTTTTGGAGGCCTAAGCACATTTCAAAATAAGGAAACATCATATGTGTTTTGTTGGTTCAGGGCGACATGTCCAACCACACGAGGCAGGCAGACGTTTGCTCGCCATCGCATGGGGGCGCTATGTTGCCCGAACGGGACTGCATGGACCTATACACCTTACATTAAGATTTAATAAAAAACAGAAATAATTAACAGAAACATTTTTAGACACCTTCAACGTGAATGCAACGACAAAACATCACGAAAACAGTGAACCACGGTATTACAAGAGAGGGCGCTTCAGTTAGACAAGAGAGGGCGCTATTCAACATGGCTGCGGCAACGAAATATTTGGCAGTAAATTTCACTGTGCTGAACGGCCGCTGTACTGAACATTCAGCGTGGACAGGCAGGGATATTATCAACAACAAGAAAAGACTAAACTGATTAGTGGCTGACCTGCATGAGTGCAAAACGCATGGCAATGCAGCTGCGTGGTCCAGCACCAAAGGGTATATAGGCACAGGGATGGCGCTTCTCACGTTGCTCTGGTGAAAACCTTTGGGGAAAAAGGAAACGATTCATGAGGACATGCTCAGAGATTTATTTTCCAGACGTCACTGACATCTTCTTGTATAACATTTTAAGCTAAGGTTCTAACCATAATAGTGAATTGCCTTCCACATTACACCATTTCTTCCAAAAGATATTACATTCCACCTGTGCCTGATGCTAAAATGTAACGTTTACCAACACAGACCTTCATGCCCTAATTTTGTCATGTATTATGCGACTCATTACATCATTTAATGAAACTAGAACTTCTGCACACACTTTGCTTCAGCACACTTTTCTGTCCTCCAAAACAAAATATAATACAATGTGGAACATCATTAATCCTATCCACTTGTCCATCATTTCCACAAAGTCAGTACGACTTTTCCGTGCAGTACTATGTTCAAACATTTCACTGCCGATAACTACCCTCCCAAAGTGCTCAAAATAACAATGTGAAATCTGCAAATCTTCCAATTTGTACTGCTTAAATATGACAAAAAAATAAGTCAGTGGAAATTTAGGACTACATTTAAAATATATATATATATACATTAACCTGAAGGTA